TCTATCCAATCTCGGATAGCAAATGGGTGAGCCCGATGCAAGTGCTGCCGAAGAAGACGGGAATCACAGTGGTCAAGAAAAACAAATGTATATCTACTAAATAAGCAACAAGTAAAAACACATTTTTTTATAAAACACTTTTCATCCAAGTTTTAATCACGAGTTTACAATAAAATATATCTACTAAATAAGCAACAAGTAAAAACACAACTTTTTATAAAATTATTCTTCTATACTAAGTCCTTGTGCTCCAATCGTCTCACGTACAATGGCTGCTACGGAAACCTGTAAAACATGTAAATATCTACTGCATCAGACCATAGGTCTGGTAAGTTATATTTTAATCTGTTTCCATGTCACTCTACTCTTATTCTAATCGTTCTATCTTTACAGGCTCTATCTTTCTTCTTTTCCCCTTTCTCATACTCTACAATCTAGGCTCTTCTTCTAATAGAATACATTGCTATTCTTTCTTATTCATCTTTCTTCTACTCTTTTCTCATGCTTTCTCATCACATATATCTCTTACTCTATCTTTTACTCTTCGTCTCTACTCTTTTCTTCACTCTCTCATACTTTTTCTTATCCTCTTCTCAGGCTTATCTTATACTCTATGCACACTCTATCTTCTCTATTTATCTCTCACATACTCTTCATTCTATATCTCTTTTCTTGTCCATTACTCTTATCTCATCTTATATTGTTTATGTTCTTCTCATACTCTATGCATTCTCTTATCATATTCTTAAACTGCTCTTAACACATCTCTTACTCTTAGCACGTCTGTCTCATTCTCTACTTACTCTTCATCTCTCTATTCTCGACTATGATGCCTCATCATTCTATTGTCATTTAGACCCAACGGTCCAATCTCATACTATAATCTCATCTATCTTCTAAAGGAAACAACATCCGACTAACCTTACCAGGTACACTCATCCAGACTTACTCCCCTCTCTTATGATCCCTCATATATCCTTAATCATTTTCTTCTCTTAAATCCCTCATAGATCCTTTACTCTGAATCTCTCATGGATTACATGTAAATTCTCAAAAGAACTCGCTTTCCATGCTCCACTTATGGAACCTTTTCTCTATCTTCTCTTCGCATACATAGTCTTTATTCCCACAGGAAGCATCTATCTACATCCTTAAAGGGGCCATGCTCTTATTCCCGTAGGAATCATACTCTTTATTCTGGGAGGAATCATACTTTTTTTCCTAAAGGAATCATCTTTCTACCCTTCTCCAACTCTTTTATATGACTCATCACATAACACTTGTCCCATGGACAATCCATCTCTTTATCTCATCAACATATATTATACTACTTATATAGTACTTAAATCATGAAGTACTTATCTAATTCTTATTCCCAAATCTCTTACATACATAGTCATGTATATGATTATAATGCATATAATCATATTCTATCTCTTTCTACCATATCATAGGTATTTAAGAAATACCTTTCTCATCTAACCATACATATTCTAGGTATACGTACATGCTCTGATACATGTTTCTCAACATATACCCTATACATAGTTTAATATTTGTTCATGATCTGTTACATTATTTAGAACATATATGCAAACTCTATATTCATCTAATAACTTGAGGGCATACACTTAGTGCCTCAAGATCCAATCATGCATGCATATATATATATATATATATATATATATATATATATATATATATATATATATATAAGATTATAAACATATAATCATACTCTAAAGAGATAGAGTGAGAGCTATAACTTACCTTGCTAGTTAGTAAAAACTAACCATCCTTAGCTCCATTCTTCAATTGATGCATCTTGATCCATCTTTTTTCCTCTTAGGCCTATTCATACATTTATACAAGTTTCTTAATACTTGTCTTAGCCTATTATGAGCTTAAGGACTCTTATGGTAAAAAGGGTCATTTAATGGATCAATATTCAATCTTTTCATTTTCTACTTCTAAATCCAATCAAAACAATGAATTAATCATCCCATACTACCTAATTCTTTACACTCTTATATCTAATGCATCAATTCAACATTTACACAAGTTAGGGTTTCAAACCTTAACTCTCAATGGGCTAATTTCACCGTGGAAATCATCCACAAAGCTTGATCAACGCTTCTAAACACTCTTAATAGAATCATATAAAAGCTATAGATTTATCAAACCAAGCATTCTCACCAGTGTAACACATTCACCATTAAAGTTCAAAGGTTAAGAAAATGGAGATTTCATTACCTTAAGAGTTTAAGGATGTTCAATCCTTATTAGGATCCATCTCTAGTTCATCCAATCACTATCTCACCCTCAAAATTGCCTCATATCTGCTCTCCCTAACTATGGGGTGTTTTGGTTCGAAATAAGGATTTAACAGGTTTAAAAATATGTCCTGACATCGTTGCCACGTCGTGGTGACAACATTTCATAGATTCCATCTTTAGAACATTTTATTTAAATCTTTAAACAGTCATAACTTCTTCGTTTCAAACCTGTTTCCAGTTATCTTTTTATCCACGCGAAGGTATTGACAATATCTACAATTCTATATAATTACTTTTGGGTTAATTCATATGTAACTTAATACATTATGCCAAGCAAAATGCTTAAAATACCAATTTGACGCATTTTCTAATGCATCTTCAAAGATCCATATCTTCTTCGTCTTATCTCCATTTTCCACAAATCTTATATCCACACAAAGGTGGGGATGAGTTCAACAACTCCACCAAATCATTTCTCACTAACATTATATGGGTCTTAATCTATTAAGTCACAAATTTGACCCAAAAAGCATAAAATTTCCTATTTTACCCTTTTGGACAAAATGCAGCTTCTCTGCATTTTTTCTTTTGAACGCACTTATATAATCTCATATAAGTGAATTAAACTTATCTTTTTCCATCGTCATGAAGTCACACTTTCATAAACTTATAAATTCTCATAAATGACCATTTTGACCTTTTGGTCAATATTTGACTAAAAGTCAAATCTCTCTAAATATCATGTTCTTACAATGATGGTCTCTTCCTACTTCGATTGCATAGAACAATATTTATTCGGATCTCAAATGTTCTTAAGCACTTATAGTTATTTCCCTTGAATACAAATTCATTTCTCTAATGTTCCTCGATCCCATGGGTGGTTATCCACCCTTAAAATTCTTTTTACAAAGCTTGATTCACAGAAAGTTGCATGACTCTGTTAGGCCATAGTGAATATTATATGTTAGCAATGTTACACACGATAACACTGCATACTCACCATACACACTAAATCTTGACTTTATCATCTAGTTTTACGATTCACAAGTGGCTGCAGTTGGTCCCAAAATTGTATCCCTTCCAGAAAAGGATGTCTAAGTCCCTTTGTGCTACTCTCCTTGACTCTTCCATGTGTTGTCTCATCGAGGCCATAGCGTCTTTCTTCATGTTGTTCCATCACTCCCCCCTTCAAGTGTTCGATATCTATTAATAAAGTTGGCATTTCTTGCTCTTGCGTAACATCTTCGCTAATCTCATTTCTCACATGTCGGATGCGACTTCAAGTTTATACCATCATTAGAGATCCAGTTAACTAGTTTTAATAAAGATTAGTTTCAACATTATATTAGATTAACATCCTAAGCCTAAGGCATGGCAATTAAGAATGCTAGGTTTAAGATTTTAACCTAAGAACGCTATCTCAAGGTTAACCTAATCAACACTAGGTCATTTTTTTACAAGAGCATAAGGGATGCTAAGACCAATGTCTATAACCATACAAATTCTATTTCAAATTTACCGCTAGTGTCTATAGTTTAAATCTAAGTACTAATATAAGCACCTAATTCACTTAAACCAAAGCTTTGATACCAAACTACAACACCCCTCGCATGGGCCTATCTGACATAGCCTTTAATAAAATTCTTTAAAATAATTTTAAAGTTTTATTAGTGAAAAACTAGTCCCAAATTTTAAATGAAATTTTTTTTTCAGAGTTTAAATACAGATAATGGTCTCAGTAAAACGTTTCCCAAAACATTTAGTGGTTTAATACAACATTTCATGTGATAGTCCTACAATAGATATCAAAACAAAGGTTTAAGAAGACAATAAAAACCAAAGGTCCTCTAAATATATAAAGCTTTTGAGTCCTCTAAGATTTTAACAAAATCTATTAACCTGTAAACAAATTATCAATAAGCAGGTTAGGCCTTGGGGAGCCTAGTGAGTACAATCCTAGGTTTAGACATTATGGACGGTGTATGAATTACACTAGTACAAAAAATGACTTATAGCCACACTTTTTGGAAACATGGTCGTCAAGAATTTGGTTAATTGTGTCACTAAGGTCATTAATCAAATTTTTGTAATGCTTTAGTCACATATTAGTTAAAAAAAAACGTCACCGTTGTAACCATGGTAATCACGATTTTAGTTATATACGTCACTAAAGGTCATTAATCAAATTCTAGTAATGTTTTAGTCACAGTTTAACTAACAGTCGTCACAAGATGTCATCAATTGTGACATGTTTTTGTTTAATATCTAGCTTTATTTTGTGATGGTTATTAACCGAGACGTACTTTAGTTATAGGTTAACTAAAAGTATTTTATAGTCATGTTTTAATTTTATATGTATCTAAAAGTAAAAAATAGTAATAATAAAAAGAGGTAAAAAAACATGTCACCATAAGTTTTTTTATAGTGACAGTGTTGAAAAGTAAAACCAATATTTGGAGGGAAACATTTTTCCCTCATTCCAATTATCCCTCTTTACTAAAATTTCAGTATTTTCCCTCCTTACCGAAAGTTAAATGTTTTAATTTCCCTTTTTTATCGAAAAAAAAAAAGTTAACCTAATCCCCTCATCTATCTGTTCCGTCATCTCCACAAAACCTTGGATTCGCCCCCTTTTTTCTCATACGGAATTTCAGGAGTTCTTGGCACTTCTTCTACTTCTTCCCTGGTACACGAGTTCATGGAGTTCAAGTTCTGACATCCTCAATGTCTTCTCCTTCTAAGCATTTCATCTACTTCTTCCCTGATACGCCGTCGCACTTCCATGATCATCTTGACCTTCAAGTAGGTGTTGGCTTGTGTCATAGCTCCTTCTCCTTCTTAGCATCTGTCGTCGTCATTTCTCCTCCGACATCCTCAGCTCCTCCGATTTCAGAGCTCCTCTGTGAAGGTTGGTTCTTCTTCATTCACATCTCCTCCGGTTTTAGAAGTTCATTTACAAAGACGATTCTAAAGATACAATTTTAGAAGTTCATTAACAAAGACGATTCAGAAGATACGATTTCAGAAGTTCATTGACAAAGATGATTTTGAAGCCCATTTGGTCTTGTTTGATCTTATAATATTGTGGAAAGATTCTCAAAACGGAATATTACCATCTAATCTGGTTATTAAGAATGATTTCCAAGTAAGTTTTCATAAGTTATACTCTTGATAACTCATCATTAATTCACACAAGTTGTTAAGAAAATACGTTTCATCCTTCTTTTACTATGTTTTTGTGTTTTTAATAATGGTAGATACCAATGATTCTTACTGTTGAAGATGACCTAATGGTCCTATCCTAGGATCCAAGTAAATTTTGGGTCTTTCTATTTCTTTTTGCATCATGTTCTACAATTAATTTGATGTGGTAACTGTATTATGGGCACAATTGTCTTCTTTAGGGATTTAGAGAGAAGAATTATGGAAATAGAGATGGAAATAACACATTAAATCTAGCCAGAAACCAAGGTTTTCTTAGTGACCACTTGAAGTCATCTTCTAAGACAAGGTATCTATATTGGGTTGCTATTATGTTTGGTTTTACTCCTAAAATCATGATTTTCTTCTGTTATGTTCCTAGATATATTACTTACTCAAAAGAAGATGAAATAGTAATATGTATGCAATCGGTTATGGTTATGTCTTCGATGGTAGGATTTTAAGGAAAATTTGTTTCGATTTGTGTAGATACGATTTCAGGTATCCACTTATCTTAAAGTCTCACATCTCTTCATATTGGTCTCATGTACAGGTTCGAGAATTGAAAGTAGCAGAAGGAAAGTTCACTCTTATCTTTTTAGAAACTCCTAGCCTCAACAGATGACTAGAAAGTCATCAAGAAAATCTAGAAAGAATGGGAGGGGTATGAATGCCCAACTGAAGGAGCTATTGTTCAGGGTCGGTTGCCTTATTTGATTTGATTCTTTTCTTGACTCTTTAAATTGTTTATAATATGATTCCTGAAATTACTTCTTATTGTAATAATGGGTAGTGAAGTTGATTGGTAAGCTATACGATCACACAATATTCATGAAGAAAGGTCATGAAGGTTTATAAATATAAGTACATTGCTACTATGGGAAAAGACTTTGAAAATATGTTATGAGTAAAAAATATAAGTACATTGCTATTATGTGTAAAAGATGAAGTATGTTGCCTATATTATATGTAAATGTATAGTGAAGTTGATTTGTAATGATTTATCAAATTGTTGTTGTCAACATATATTCTATATGTGAATGTGAATGTGTATGTGAATGTTGTATTTTATTTATTAATTTAAGTTGTTTATTAGAATAATGTACAACAGTTATGAAAAACAAAAAAGAGTGATTAAATGTCAACAATAGTCACATTTTAATCTTTATGTGTCACTAAATGTCAATAATAGTCTTGACAAACAAAAAAACATGTGACCAAAAATAGTTTATGTTTACTGTTTAATATATTACGTGTCACTAAAAGTTAATAATAATCACGGCAAACAAAAAACCATGTGACTAAATGTAGTTTATGGTCACGGTATAATATATTACATGTTACTGAAATTTAACAATAGTCATGAAAAACGGAAAAACGTGCGAGTAAATGTACCTTATGGTCACGCTTTAATCAATTATGTGTCACTAAAAGTCAGCAATTATAATGAAAACAAAACAAATTGTGAGGGAAAGTAGTTTATGGTGACGGGTATCAAAAAATGATTGAAAAAACTACAAAAATTGGTACCATATGATGATGGTTTTTACGTATAGTAACGGTTTTTATGGGTTACAGTCAACAAAATTAAACTGTCACCATAGCTTACCTTTAATGGTGTGACCTTTCATTTCACATTGAATGAAAAAAAACCTGTCATAAAATGTCTATAGTGACAGGTTTTTTGCATGGCCAAAGACCAGTTTTGTACTAGAGGAATGAACACTTTTGTTCATACACCAATGTACAAACCCATACCTTCTCGAAATATCAAAATCAGCAATAATCAATTTGGGGAAAAATATAACTTTTAACAAAGTACATTGTCAATTATGACAATGTCTATACAAACTTCACAATCAAACAAACAATACCAAGTGGGTGTATATTGATTAGCACCTTTCAATAATCAAAACCCAAAAATAGTAGTTAACTGAATAAATGCTCAGGTGAGCTAAAACAAAATAGAAATCCATATTTCCAAAATTCAACATTCCAATACATCTGAAAGTAATATAAGAAATTGGATTTATTTTCCAAACATAATATAAGGGTCCTACATGCCCAAAAGGTTTCCATAAAACATTTATGTTTCTAGAAAGAGAAAAATACGTCCCAAAATATACAAAAGGGGTAAAACAAAAATCAATCACAAAAAGTAGGATGCAATGCATGGAACTACTCTAAATCCCTTTTCACTCTTAAAGTCTAGCCCACAATAAACGTCGAATGTGCAGTACTCATGACAGATGAAACTGCCAACTTTTGCACTCACATATGAGAACAAAAGGTTGATGGCTAGGTGTGAAGAATGCACGATAGACGAAACTTCTGAATTTTTCCCTTACACCCACAAACATACACTAGGGACCATCCACCTAGGCCACACAAGGGGTAATGAGCCTCTACTCGTGCATATGAGGATAATCTAGAAATATATTCATAAACAGATAACAAGAAACAACAACTGTCCATTGGGTACCCGGGACCACAAAGTCACACCTATCCTATCATGATTTTCATGTATGCAACACGTAGGATGCCAAAATATCTTTTCTCAAAATAATAATTTTTAGCTCTATATCAACCAAAAACATTTCTGAGAATATAGTTTCATGAATGCATAAATAAAACCCATACGTGAAACTAGAAATCAAGTATATGTTCACGTAGTTTCAAATCACAAAACCAATAATAAGGAATGTGTATTCCCGAAGGTTCTAGAACAGGAAGTCAAGAATATATAAATTCTTACTATCAAATAATAAGATAAAGCCCCTCAATGCAAATATTTCCAAAACATGCCCTTTATTTAATTATGGGTGTCTACGAATTATAATAAATAGTATCAAGCAGAGGAAAAACACATAAGGGATATATATAGAGTCGAAATCATATTTATAGTTTTAATTAAAATAATGGGAAACACATCTAACATAATCATATTGTGGGGACTGTGTTCTAAGATAAAAGCGCTCACCTTAAGTCCTAAGCTTGAAGCACCAAAGATCTTCTTCACTTGAGATATATCACTTCAATCTCCAAACTTCCCAAATCAATCACCTAATATCATTACAAGGTATCAATGACTAAAATACCCTTCTATGGGTAAACTTAACATTCTAAGCTCAAAATATCACCAAAATTTCCTAATATGGATCATAGAAGCAAAAGGGAATAGAAGGAATGAACCAAACCCGAGACACAAGCATGACACAAAACTAAAAACAAGGTGGGATAGCAACCACGTCGCGACCAACTATGATCCGCATTGCGAAAACTAGAATAGATGTAAAATATGGGTTTTGTTTCTCAATTAAACATCCTATTTTCAAATGAACTTCAAGGACGCATCCAGTGACTCAAATGACTTCCAACTAGAATTAAAACTACTTAAATGACTACAATGAAGGATCCCCAAGTGGTTCATATCCTTGTAGTAACTTTAAAATGCTTATATTTATAAAATTGCTTTTAAAAGTCAAAAACTATCAAAACTCTAATGTTTGAAGGAATTGCTTCAAAAGACAGTTTATTTGATTCCACACCTACAATAAAACCTCCAAAACCATGAGACAAGGATTGTTAACTATATCATGGATTCAAATGGATATACCTAATCAAAACATGAACTCAAGCTCATATCATTGCTTAGAGTCAATAAATTGAATCAATGAACCATATAATTGAAAATACCCAAAATTTCACAATATAAGCTAGATTTGAATCAAATACCAAATAATCTCACCATAACTCATTTTTTGACAAATATATCATAGATTTGAAGTTAAATACAACCAGTACACATAAATCAAGCTCATAACTAGACAATGAACCTCAAATTCTGATTTCACCATTTGTGGTTAAGGAAACCCATCAAAACAACTCCAATCTCATAAATCTCACAACTATTAGCTAATTGGATCTTGGATGTGGATCAAGGAATGAAACTACATCAATACTCTCATAAGAACGTCATAAATAAAGTACCAAAATTCGAATATATACAAACACACAAACCCAAGGTCGAATTTGGATATAAAAAGGGAAGAAAGCTAACTTCCAAGCCAGATGATGTGAGGATTCTACCAATACTTCAATCAATAACTTTAAGCTTCAAAACTGAGAAGATTTGATAGAATATCGAGTTACAGTGAGGGAAAGTTGCTAGAGTCGAATGGGGAAGAAAACAGGTAAGAATGAGGTGAAAAGAAGGAGTTGTTGATGTGAAAAGGATCTGCATTGTAGACATGCCACTTCAACCAAATGGGCATAGCGCGTCCATAGTTTTTGAAAATTTGATAGTTTTGGTCCCTTTTTCTAAATTCCTTTCAATTAAGGTCCCTAGCTTGGCTCAAAAACTTAATAAAATTTATCGTTAGTCTAACATTGGTTCTTGTCCATCATAACTTTAGAAAACCTGGTCTGGGATGCTTATTTGGTCAAATTCTAGGGTCAAACACAAGTTTTTGTAACTTGTCACCTTTAGCGCTGAAACTTTAAAAGTTTTCATTCGATACCCAAACTCTATCAAAATTTATTTATAACTTAATAACAATGTTTATTATGATTATTAATCAAACCATTTACTTTTATTTATTTATTTATACCATTTCAATTTTATTTTATTTTTATTTAAATAGAATTTTATTTTTACTAAAAACCCAACCTTCTAGCCCCTAAAACAAGATGTTGCACACACACACATACTCTCTCTCTCTCTCTCTCTCTCTATATATATATATATATATATATATATATATATATATATATATATATATATAGCTAGGTGGTACGATGGTTTAAGGTGGCGAGGGCTATGCATTAGGCAGTAAATCGGTGGTTGATGGTGTGTTGTGGTCAGAGAGGATGGTGGCGTGGTGTGGACAGGGACTGTGTGAGGGTTTTCCAATGGTTTTTCCTTTATAAGGTGATGCACGTGGTGGTTATGATGGTGTAATATTAGTTGTCGGTTGGTGTGGAAAGTCCCTTTGTTGATAAGATCGACGAAGAAGATGGTAACGATGGTGATAGTTTTCAAGAGGTGGTGGTACCTGCGATTGTAGGGGTGAAATGGTGGCGGCAGTTACAGTGGTTATTGTATGTCGATTTCTATTCTAAAGGGTTCTTTTATTACAAAAAATGAAAACAAAAAAAATTCTTCCCATGTCATATCTCAATCTTTAGTTAAACCGGTCACAATGGGTATTCTCCTTACTTTGTTTATAAAGTTCTAGTTTATCCTTTTTGTATTCTTTTTTGAAAAAACAATAATTATTTTTATGTAGAAACAATAATTGTCTTTTTGGTTTACGTTCTCATGTGGATTTGATTGTATATGTTTAATTTAAGTTCAAAATTTTTTTATTTTTTTTGAATTTGGTTTCCAAACCCCAAGATTTTTGAAATTCTTCTTTCCAGCTCAAATAAAAGAACTAACACAAACCCATATAAAAGTAAGTAGCTTTTATCAAATCTGCAAATTAGAAGTTGATGATTTTTTTGTTCTCAGACATTTCTAAGTCGATGAATTAATCTGTTTTTTTTATGTATTGTAAAACAATTATCAATCTACATGCACAAAACAACACCAAGCTTATAAACTGTAACCATTTAGAATAAAAAATAACATAATAATCTGTTTTCAAGAAAATAGTTGAAATAATATTGTAACACCCCGATTCCCATGTATGAATTTAAAGTTTAATATATATATATATATATACTCATTTTCAGGGAAACTCGACGAGTTGGGAGGATCCAACTCGTCGTGTAGGGTATTTAATGTCGCGTATCTTTCAATGTCTACTTGACGAGTTGAAAGACCCCAACTCGACGAGTTGAAGGCTGACATGAAAACCCTAATTTTTAGGGTTTGCACCCTATTTAAAGGCCTTAACTCTCATTGTTAGCCTCCCTCACCATCCCCTCAGTCCAGAGAAAACCCTAAACGTGCCACTTTCCCCATTTTGTGTGTGTCATTACTAGAAAAACAGTCTTATACGACGCACAATGCGTGTCGTAAAACGCTCAGACGACGTGCAAATGCGTGTCTAGTAAGGCCCTGTCATAACGAGAGACGACACGTTTTTGCGTGTCGTCTATTTAGGACGCGCATTTACGATGCACAGTTACGACACGCATTTACGATGATCATTTACGACACACAATGCGTATCAAGGAAGGCCATGTCATAAAGGAAGACGACACACATTTTCATGTCGTAACCTTACGACGCGCGTTTAGGAAGCACATTGCGTATAATTAAAGCCCCTGTTATAAATGAAGATGACACGCATTTGCGTGTTATAAACTTCAGCAACCATTGACGATACGCATATACAATGTGCCTTTACGATACTCATTTACGCATAATACAAAAATATATAAACAAATATATACCAAAAACAATCAATTTCAACCAATAACATCATGTCAAAAAATTGTAATACATTGATATTAAGGGGATCTAATTGTAAATTGTTATTAAGAGGTTTTCCCTAACTATATAACCTAATACTACATTGCTATTAAGGGGCACCTTCTTGTTTCAGATATCATGTCAAAAAAATCATCCATATCATTGTTTTGCCACCTGGTGTGGTGTACTGGGCTTCTGTCCACCGGGCGTGGATGGAAAGTAATGACTTGAACACTAGCTGAAAACTCACAATTCTAGTGAAAACACAACATCCTTAGGCTTCTCCGATGAACGAAAGCGTACAACCTATGCAGTTTCCATTATTAGATAAAAAAATCATGAGGAGTCCCATATAATATGATGGTGCACCTGACGATTGTGAACATACTCAAGAAAAGATGGAACATCAGGATAACGATTGAAAAGGAGATACCTGACTACCCCAAAAAGTTAGCATCTTGTCAATATGTTCACACATAACATTGGGTTCAAACTTGATTTCCTGGATGCAAGGGAAAATATAAAGGCACCAACTTAAATGATTCAGGAAAATGTAACATTTTTATATAAGAAATAAACCTCGAATAGTTTAATTTCTTCATCAGGTGCCAGGATTTCTATTGGCTTTTCTAGTGCCCTTCACAAAAGATTTCTATTGGCTTTTCTAGTGCCCTTCACAAAAGCCTCCCAACATACCTGGTATGTAAAAAAAGATTCAGAATAATGAGAGAGAGAGAGAGAGAGAGAGAGAGAGAGAGAGAGAGAGAGAGAGAGAGGGAGAGAGAATGGATACCGAAGTTCCTCCTTAAATAGATGCCTTTTATTCAAAACTTTGAACGAAATGTGTAGATTTAAGAATAAAATAGTCAATGCGTATATAAGCTGTTTAAAAAATAACAAGATACAAAAATAGTCTCTCCCTTTTCTGTTTAACACTTGACCTTAACAACTATACATAATGACTTAATCTAGGCAAAATAATACAAGGTTTAAGCCAAAAAAAACATGGCTTGAATGCTTAATAGACTAAGACACCATCTCTTTACCTATTTTCCCTTCTTATTTTTTTCCACGCATCTTATTTCGATAAAGTTGATGAACATTGTTAAACTACTAAATACTATGAACATTGGTTTCTAAAATTATCTCATTCACTCAATTTATTGGGTTAAAATAAGAGACATCAAATAGTTAAATTAAATATAAAATTAGAATAACCTCAAAACCCAATTTTATATATTTTCATTATTTCTTTACCTTATTGCTTTGCTTAAGAGATCCTAAACACTCTCTCATTTGCTCAGATTTTGTACCAGGCCCGATGAGCTCATTAATAATAATAATAATAATAAATATAAACAATACTTAAATTATGATGGAAAAAGTAATATTTTTATTAAATGTTAAAATTTATAACATATAAAAAATATATTCTTTGTTGACTATATAATAAGCTAGATACCTGATCATCAGCTAAAATTCCACCAGAACAAGCCACGCTATTTTCCTTATCAAGCTTCCAGATCAATGCAGTTTTCTGAAAGGAAATTATCATAGCACATGGAATAACCGAAATTAAACTTTTGTATATATGTATAATTAATTGATACACATAAGTTAGAAGATAGTAATTAGGTGTATCCAAAACCTGGTGCCTGTAAAGAGGGAAAGATAAAAGACCATAAGGTAAAATTGCTTCAATAGTTGGTTGATAAAGATCCTGATAAGAAACCAAATATAACCTTTTAGTGCATGACGTGTCATTCAAAAGGTACAATATAAAAAATAAATAAAAACAAGATAACAGAATAACATCTAATACCCGTAGTGTTACTTGATAAATCAGCCTTTCATCACCAACTATTTCTTCAATGACCCCAGGGCGAGAATGACGAGATTGCCCTGCATACTGTGTTGTAGAAGGAACATACACAGGGGGCTTCATTGATGGTGGTAATAGCTTACAACCATGGTTATTTTTCATAGCTAAATCATTATGGGCCCCAACTGTAACTGTCTTGTGGGTGAAAGTCAAACTTTGTTTAACTTGATGATGCAGTAACAAGAAGATCATTTTTTTCCATAAATTTCATGTCTTTGAAGGCTTGGCCTGGAACTAGAAGAAGACAGATTCTTAAGGTATGATGGAAGCATTCTTTTGGCATCTTTCTGAGGTAACTGATCATTAGAATCTGAACTTAACATAATAGTGATTTTCAGCAAGAATTATTATTTAAACTGATATAGATATTATAAGGAGCACATTTACGATGATTTAGAAAAGCTTTCTTGTGGTTGTCGTGTCTAACTGTATACCACGGGAACCTGGAATTCAGATAAACGTTTCTTATGATTTTATGAATAATAACATAAAGGTTTTTGTATAGCATTGTGATTTCCATTTATATAGAAGATTGTATTTACTTATATTACTTGACACAGATGAAGTTAGTACTGACCAGTATCTTTACTATATATGTGGTTTGATTAAAGTTTGATTAGTAAAATGATATAAGTCACTGAAAGCAACTCTCTTATAACTAATTTTGACATAGCTTCCATGTTAAAGAATTACTTCAAAACACAATAACACATAAAAGAACAATACATGTAATCTACATCAATGTTATTGCTATTGTACATTACACTTAAGATTTAATAAAAACATGTGTAGTTCCTTGCTCAAAATATATAATATAGCATGAAAACAAAAGAGTCACACATTGGGGCATTTTATCAAACAGTTGGTGTTCACCAAAAAGTATCCCTAAACAGGCAGTGATTAATTATTCAAAGATTACCAGAAACAAACAAGAATCAAGCTTTGCATTCCATACTTCATAGCGATAACTCATGGAATTCATAGAGCTTCATTAAGCCAAACCATGGAAAAGAGAAAAGTAGAAATGAAGGAATATGAGAACAAGGCGGGGTTTTCTAATTTTTGGGGATTCCGTTTCCCGCTTAGCTATTAAAGGTTGGAAAACGCGCGTTCCATTAAAATTTATGAAGCGACATACTTAGACGACATGCGTTTTATTAAAGGTGTCCTCCGTGTTTTTTTTTGTATAGACACTAATGTAAGGGCACGCAATAATGCGTGACCTAAATCCTTAAATTTTTTTGAAGAGATGACACTTTTTTAATATCACACGCTTTTGCGTAACATAAGTCAATGAGTATCATGGTTTGCGTGTCGTAAAAGGGTATTTTTCTTGTAGTGTGTGAGCTTAAAAAGTGTTCTTTGGTTCTTTTCTTGAAGGAGTGTGAAGTTGGTGGTGCAAAGTTGAAGGGAGAAGCTTTAGATCCAGGATTTTCAGTGTTGTTGCAACCATTTGAAGGTATAAAGTCGTTATCTTGATCATCCATTTGCTAGATCTCTTCTATTGAATGTTTATGGCCATTAGTAGCTTATTTTGGGACCATTCTTGGATTTGAGCATGTTATGAAGCCATGGTTTCAGATCTGGACAGCTCATGGCCTCCGATGGCTTAAAGTTGCCAACTTTATCAAGTCTTGGCCCTCCTTCATGCTCTAAGTCCCTTGACAAGCCTTATTTGAGTATTTTAGCCCTCTTGATGTCATGCATGGATGTAAAGCTAGCAACTTTACGTGGTATTTAGTCCTAAGGGACCAGATCTATAGTTTGGGACTTTGGTTTCGCTTAGAGGTGTCTGAATGCCTTAAGACTAGGAAAACTCGACGAGTTGCCTAGCCAACTCGGCAAGTTGAGTCGGGTTTTCCAGCTTTCTGGATGTTGAAGAGCTCGACGAGTTGCTCTGGTAACTCAACGAGTTGTCTAGAGGTTTTCATGATTTTCTGAGATATGAAGGAACTCGACGAGTCAATAGATGCACTCGACGAGTTGGGTCAACATGGACTGTTGACCGTGACTATTGACCTTGACTGTTAACTTTGAATTTGACCATGGTTGACCAAGTTTGACCTTGAGGGTATTTTGGGTATTTCGTGTTTTTGATGAGGTTAGTCACTTAGTGATTGTAGGCAGTTGAGTTTTCCTCACTATACTTAGGGGTCGAAGGCACCAAGGCCGGCCCATTGGATTTATATCCTATTAGTTACCGATATGTTGAGTATAAGTTAGATATGCATGCTAGTTTGATATGCTAGTCTAGTAGATTTGTAGGACTACCTGTGATACTATTTGATTATATGTATGCGTATTTATTTGTTACATATCAACATGTTGTGTGGGTTGGGTTGAGGTTGTATTGCTCCGTGTTGTAGCCAACAAACCCTGGAGTATATCAGATATGAGCTGAGTGCCAGGGAGGGCATGCCAGACTCATACTGAGGACTCCTGAGCATTCCAGATACGAGCTGAGGGTTGGACCGAGCATGCCTGACTCGTATTGAGGGCTAATCATTGTATTCCAGTCCAAGGACTGAGAGAGCAATCTAGAAATAAGTTGTGGGCCGAGAACAAACCATACTGATGCTTTGGGCTCGAGAGCAAGCCCGATATGGGCTGAGGGCCAGGGAGGGCATGCCAGACTGATACTGTGGGCTGGGGGGGGGGTAATCCAGTCTTTAAAGCAGTGGACCCATTACATGCTGTTATTATGTGTACTATGTGTTATGTATCGGTATTTTGGGGGAACTCACTAAGCCTCTGGGTTACAGTTGTGGATTTTGTTTCAGGTATATCAGATGATCGTGAGAAGGCGAAGGCTTGATCGTGTACCTCCTCGTTTTTCATGTTGTGATTTCTGGGAAAACTAAAATATTGGATTATTTTGAAAACAATTTGTAAACAATGGATGGTTTTGGAATGTTTGAAAAGTTTAAATTTTACATGAACTTTATGGATGTTACAAGTTAGTATTAGAGCCTTGGTTTGAGTGAATTGGAGGAACACTCGTGTGAATCTAGTCTCAAACTTAGGAAAAGATTTTGAAAACGATTTTCAAATGGTTTTCAAAGTACTAAAGGAGGATGCGATGTGTACGTTCAGCCGGAGCCAGTAAGTAGACCCCAAAGTACGATACTGTTATTTGATATTGTGATATGTTAAAACAACATGCTAGTGATAGGCTAGGGATCTTCAGGAATTGGATGATAGAATTGTCTGATTATATGATGCCTGATAGCATAGGGTTTCCTTATATGAAATTGACATCATTACTATAGTTGCTTAGTGTATGCATCATGATTGTATATAACTAAGATCTTATAGCCTGATAATGTTTCGTTTGGCCTTATTTCATGTTCTATTTTGACGAAGGGCTTAGGGTATGATTAGATATTCAAATGTCTATAGGGTCCAGTGTTATGGATGGCTAACATACATGAGTGTTGCAGGGTTGGTGGAAGTTTCATGGATGAGTTGTGCGGGGTCAGTCGGCTAGTTGTGAGTTGTTTGTCCTTCCTCTAGGAGTGAGGATTGAGCGCTCGCCTATTCTTGTGTAGATTGTTAGGGCGCTGTGATGATCCTTGAGACAAATATGGGTAGGTTTGGAAGGTAGTATGGGCCGGTACTACTGAAAGCACAGGACCCATATGCGTATCAAGGAAGTCACAAAACCCTACGGCTTTGTTGTAAGTTGGTTCCCCATTATTCATATGGAAAGTATGATATCTTCTTGGTATAATTTCAGTATGGTGGTTACGAGGCGACTTGAGACAGGATCCGGGTCAGGATTGGGAGCTAGCAGTCAGGATAGGCCAGCATTGACAGAGGATCGCATTAGGGAGATCATCCGTTAGGAGGTGGTTGAGATTGCCTGGGGTCAGATTACGGAGATGTCCGGGTCTATCAAGACCGCACTGATGGAGTACTTTGATGACATATACACAACCATTGTTGAGACTGCTGCTGATGCAGCCTGTGCAGCTGTGGCGGCTACGGGTGTTGGGCCAGGACCGGTGTTTCAGTATCGGGACTTCGATAATTTGAAGACACCAAATTTTGATGGAGCTCAGGACCCGATTGTGGCCATGAGGTGGATATCTGATGTGGAGGGATGCTTCTTCACTTGTTCATGCCCTACTGACCAGAAGCTCAGATGCGATCTAAACCTCCTGAGGTCCGGAGCGAAGGCTTGGTGGAGACTTGTTACGAGATTGTACTCTGATTAGCAGAGAGTTGTAGTGTCATGGGATCAGTTCAAGGAGATTTTTCGGAATCGCTACATTGCTAGGGTTGAGCGAGAAAGGTTGGCTCAGGAGTTCTTGGAGTTGAGACAGGGTATGGAGTCGGTGATGGAGATCACCCGGATGTTTACTGAGAGGGCGATGTTTTGCCCTGAGTTTGCTTCTGAACAGCCTCAGATGACCCGATATTTGAGCATGCTCAAGATGGACATCAGACAGTTCGTGTCCACTCAGAGATGTGATACTTTGTTGGAGTTACAGGAGGCCGCCAGGCGGCGTGAGCTTGAGATTGAGTTGCAGTTGAGAAAGGAGAGGCAGGCCCTGGCGTAGTCGCAGCCGGCACCAAAGCGGTTCAAGACCGCCGATTCTAGGTCTGGAGGTCAGTGCGGCCACACTTGTGGGAAGTCTTGGAATGTTCATTCTGGAGCTTGTCGACCTAGTAGTGGGTGACACAAATGTGGAAAGGAGGTGAATTATGCGAGGGATTGCCGCCAGTCCGCCCCAGTTCCGAGTATGCGGATCTTTTACCATTGTGATCAGGTTGGCCACGTGAAGGCCAATTGTCTGTTGCTCGCCACCAAGCCGGCACAGGCTCCCACGGCAGCTACTCTGAGGATCACTGACGGGAGTTAGGCTAGGACAGAGCCCCCGAGGACTCAGGGACGCGCCTTCCAGCTCACTACTGAGGAGGCCAGGACCGCACCAGATGTTGTGGCTGGTATGTTTATATTCCTTATATCATTGATTATGTTTATTGTATGCTCATATGCTTGTGCCTATGTTAGGTACGTTTTTAGTGAACTCCTTGTCGTGTCTTGTATTGTTCGACTCGGGGGCGAGTTGGTCATTTTTATGTCGATCGTTTTAGTAGGGAGTTCGATTTTCCTTTAGGAGAGCTAGAGTGTTCGTTGCGAGTCTCCAACGCCAACAAACATGGGATTTCTGCTTCTTTAGTCTATC